ATCTCAGAGATGTTAGTGTTTTGTTGAGAATGATCAGAGACAACTGGTATTGTAATCCTTTTATATGTGTGGGAAACTGAGGCTCAGAGATGCATTTACCCAAGGTCATCCATCTAGTAATTTCCAACAGAACCAGGAATGCATCCAGGTCTAACTCCAGAATTCCCCTGTACTTCCATTATATCTTGAGTCTTCCAAGTAACCGAAAAGGAGTGGCTTCAGTTTTTGAAGGTCTCCTGTGTCATGTGAGAATTTACTCATTTAATCCTCCATGTGTCTAAGGAATGTTTTCAGAATAATAAAGTAAGTTGGGAGTTAATCACCGTTTCCCAAGGACAGTTTAGTTATACTTTCCAACAAAGTACGTGTAAATTAGCTTTCCCCCCAACCCAAATAAGTAACATTCTCTTGTTAGATATTTTATACATTAAGTCTGAGTGTTTATATGTGCCATGTGTAAGTGTGTACAAGTACTTACATGTATCCTTATATGTCCATCACTTAAGATGGACAAAATTGTTACTTGTATTTTCTGTGGATAATTTTATTCACTTTGTGATATTTAGGAGATGCTATATCTCTTATAATATAGGAATCAAATTATATAAATAAAATATTCTCCAATATTTATTCATATATTAATAGATATTTTCCACCACATCAGACCTGACATTTCAATCCAAAGATACAATCAGCAAGTCACAAATTGCTGAGACTTTGGGCCATGGAGTTGTTCGTGCATCAGTTTCAGAAATTCTACTCCAGATTATATTTATTGTGCTGTCTTAAAATAGATAGGTTAGTTTTGAAATTGTAGCCCAGCATGAGATTAAGGAGGGTCTCAGAGTTACAAAGGTAAGGCAGTATTTTTAGTCCTATTGGCCTGGGGCAGCTCTTTGTATGGGCTCTTTAGGAATTGAGAAAGATTTGATTTACACTTTTCTTTAATAAGGTAGGCTTTATTAATGTCACAATAACATTTTATATTTGTACAGTTTAAGAGTTCACAAATGCTTTCACATTTACTACCTAATTTGAGGCAAACAAATTTGTGAGGTCGTGGGGCTGAAATTGTTATCTTGGCTTCACACGTGAGAAAAACGGGTGCTTGGAGAGAGAGACTCGCTTAAGATGCGGCTGGTTAGTAGAAGAGAAGAGGCACAAGAGAATTTCTGACTCCATATACAGTGTTTTGTTTCTCTCATGCTTGTATAGGTAACAGAGCTGAAGATCTACATTCTGATGTCTCGGATGGCCAATCAGCTCTAATGGAAGTAGACGGGTGTACGTTTGAGGAAGATGGTGAATTCTTTAGGTTTAATTTTGTCCAGTGCTGATTAATAGCTTAATATGAAGATAGCTATAATGCGTTGAATCTGAATGAAGCGCAGTTTTTTCCTAATTTAGAAATAGTTGCTATTATAAACCTTTTCTGCATCACGATGACACCATGCAGCAGAGAATTTTACTGCCTTCATCTGTGAGAAGGCCCTTTGGGTGAAGGTTTTGTATTTTTCTTGAAGCAGCACAAGGAGGATTTGTATTTAGACTAAAATGCTATTTTCTTTTAGAATGAAATGTTCCATATTGAATTGTTTTTGGTTTTGTCAACTTTACACTAAGAATTAAAATCCAGAATAAAAGACTATTCAGGCAGGTGTATCTAGGACAGTTATTGGAAAATGAAGCAAAAACAGGGTAAAAGGAGTAACTTACATGAAGAAAATGAGGGAAATGAGGAAATAGTGGTGGGAAACCAAAATTACAGCAATGGGAAAGAATTAAATGTTGATTAGACATTTTTTATGATTGAAATATTTGAATTCCTATCTACTAATGGAAAGGGATTATTTTATAACCCTAGGGCAAATTACCTTAAAATCTTTCTCTTAGGTGATGGTTATTGTGTGATAATGTGTATGAATGTACTTCCTAAATTGTAATGTACTTAAAACGTATGTTGTAATTATTAATAAAAGTGAAACTGAATTGCTGTGATCGGTCTTGTGCCTTAATTTTTTTACTAAAATGAAATCAGTGGGAGGGGGTGATGTGAAAGTCACTGATCTTGCGGACTATGGCTCCTCATAAACAGCGCAGTGGACATTTCCTTTAGGCCTGCAATGTGTCAGGCACTTCTGGGAGCTGCCAGGTGGTACTAAGATGGGTAAGTCACAGTTTCTCCTTATGATTTAGTACTGAAAACACAGGCCCCCACAGGTAGATGGTTTCAATGGCTTTTGATAGTGATCAGGTGGAATGTTTGTTCAGAGTGCAAAGGAAATAAAGAGAAAGGGCTCTTATCCCACACTGAGCTTTAAGAAAGGAAGACATGTAAAGATGAGCACAAGCTGTGGTTTGAAAGAAATGTGAGTGGTGAGAAGGGAGATGTGAAGTGTGTCCTAAGCAGAGGAAACGGTGTCCTGTAAGTGAAGACCTATAAAGTGTGAGGCAGGGAGTGGTCTGGGCATTGATTGGCAGGACATGCTTACTGAGAACTTTGGTTTTATGACTCAGTGAATGATACTGAGAAAATTCCAGAGAAGCTGGCTTGGAGGGGAGAACAATGAATGTGCCCCATCAGTTGAACGTGCCACATTCACAAGGTGCCTGTGAGATAGACATGTGACTATACTAGCAAGTCCAGGCATACACAGGAAAAATTAAAGCAGAAGCTGGGCTAGACATTTGGATTTGGAAATGATCAGGTTGTAAATTAAAATACATGAACTCACTTGGAGAGGGCATGCATACAAGAAAACAGAACATTGTTATGAGCACCTACTTTTGCGGCATATACAAGGGGTGAAGAGCACTTGGGCAGCCTTGAGGAAAGACAGAGGAGAGTCAGCATTTCCCCCACAGTCAGCACAGCAGAGAGACCTAGAAAAAATGGACTGGAAAGTGGCAGCTGGAATAACAGTAAGAAGGCTGCTTTCTGTGGAGTGATGGGATTTAATCTCCCTTCCCTTCTCTCTCAGTATTCCTCCAGTTCTTTGAACCTAGATCTGATCACTTCTCCTTCTCCCTCCTCTACTGCTCACCCTCCACCTCCCAGTATATAAGTTAGCAATGAGGGCCCAGCCCCATCACCATTGCTGGAGGTACTCTGTATCCTTCAGTGGCAGGCTAGGAACATGATTTTGTTATATTTGCAAATTAACCATCAGGGCCAGTATGGGTTACGAGTGGAATAGGGGTATGAAACTGGTCCACTCTGAGTATAAGGATGATCATGTCTTATTATGACAGTGTCCAGAAAGAAAACAAGTATGTGGCAAGAAATTGGTCTTTTCTTGCTTTCTCTCCTCACTCTCTTTTCCCCTCCTTTGCTTCGGCTAACCTTTTATTTGAAGAATCACCTGAGACATCCTGTGAATTTGAAATAACAAGGTTAAGCAGAGGAATGAATTAGTTTCTCAAAAGAAAAAAAATAATCATTTTGAAAGGCAAATAAATTTTTCTTTTAATCTAACTCTTCACTCTAAAGATATAACAGAGTCATCATAAATATTTTAGATGTATAATTGAAAGCTGCACACTTGTTTTTATGAGTGTGAGGTCTGTTGTAAATTCTCCCATAATCCTCCAGGCCACTCAGCTTGGTTTATGAGGACTACTCCATAATAGAAAGAGGTTGTTTGCTATATATAAGGTCAAGATGGTTTTGTAATACATTATTTTCTCTTATTAAGTGAACAAAACTAAAACAATTCTAGGAAAAAGAATACTCTTACCAGATGAGTTTGCATTCTCTAATAGAAAATTGGAACCTTATAATCCATTCACTTATTTATCTTGCCCAAACTTGCAGCTATCTGGAGCGAATTTGATCCTCAGTTGTACGAATTCTTTCATTTTTGGGGTCTAATGACATCTGCTTCTCTGCTCATTTTAACAGATTATTGTTCCCTTTTTATTGTCTGATTTTGTAGCTTTTAATTGCACCAGTGATGAGAAATACATTTGGAAGCAGGTGGTATATAAACGAACATGCATCTATATGAAATTAATATAGTTTGTGTCACAAAATGGGACATTGAAAATACTGCTGTAGTGTTGTGTTGATTGTGTGTGTGTGTGTGTGTGTGTGTGTGTGTGTGTGTGTGTAATCTCTCAAATGAGGAAAATCAGAATACTGCTATTTTCTTGAAGAGAAAATAATATATATCCTAGTGGAAAGATTGTCTTAATCCCAAGAAATGTACCTTATGAAATATGTAGAAGCACTTAGTGCTTTTAAGCAAATACATTATTCTGTGTCCCCAGGGAAAGTAAGTGATATGAATATGGAATGTTCACTTGTTTTCAATTTTTATTCTTGACCAATAGACACTGAGGATGGATATGTTTTTATGGCAAATAATCACTTTACAGACTTAGAAGTGATGTCAGTGCAAGACTGGAGGAACCAATTAAATACCCAGTTTCTTCTTTTTTTATACTTTATTGATTTTTAGAGAGAGAGAAAGGGAGAGGGAGAGAGAGAGGAAGAAACATTGACGTGAGAGTGCAGCATCTACCAGCTGACTCTTACTGGGGACTGAGTGTGCAACCCTGGCATATACTCTTGACTGGGAATTGAACTGGCAACCCTCGGTGCGCAGGACGACATCCAGCCAACTGAGCTGCACTGGGCAGGGCTACTCAGAGTTTCTTATAAAACTTACTGAAATTATTGGTTGCTGGGTTTATAGATGAAACTCCTCAAAGAAATAACCTAATGAGAGTCTATTGTTTTTTGTTGCTCTCTAATTGTAGGATGTATATTGATAATTGTAATATAATTAAAAACTAGCATTTCACTCTTTATTATCAATGTAAGAAGGTTTTAACTGTTATAAATCTCTTAATTTGTTCATTTGGATAACGTTTTTAAAGTTGGCCCGACCAGATTTATTACATTCAAATAAAAGTTACTCCAGTGTGTTCAAATAATCATTTTCTTAGAACCTTGTAACCTAATGAAGACCTGTATGTTCTATGTGCTTTGGCTGCAGCCCTACCACTTATGTTTTGGATGAAGATGAACCTCGATTCCTCGAAGAAGTTGATTACAGTGCCGAGAGTAATGATGAATTAGATATTGAATTAGCTGAAAATGCAGATTATGAAACTTCTACTCAAGAAGAAGTACTTTCTGATTCTGATTCATCCAGAACATTTCTACCGTGATCCCTCTTCCGTCTCTTGTAAATGCAAAGAAGAAATGAACTATCTTGATTTTTATTACATGAGAAGTTTGGAAGAAATGAGTTTATAGAGAGAGCTGACTCATATAGATAAAAAGAAACTTGGGCCTGTTTGGTTTCAAGACAATAAATATGTTATTAATTCATGATAAAATTGGCACTTGTTTTATTTTAGCTATTCAATGCACTTTATATATAGCATTGAATCATCAAGTATTGGATTTACGATTTTAAAGGAAAACCTGAGTATCATTGCATGAATTTTTATCTCCTTATGGTGATATCTTGCATCAGATGGATAATTCTGAAGTGTGTGAGAATATAAAATCTAAATTCTAGAGTTGAGAATCCTGAACTTTTGAGAACTAATATATATGTACATGGATGTCTATAGATGTGTCTGTGTAGGGAGGGTGGGTAGATATTGAAGATAAGACTGTTCTTCTGAATCATGTTAATTGTTGAGCTGTGATTGAATAATCCAGAGTTTGCCTTGGAAACCATTACATTCTACATTTACCAAATTAAACAAATAAAATCAATATTAAATATTGCATTCATTTCGTCATCCTTTCTAATCAGTTCAGATTATTGGTTTATAGAATCTTTGTGAAAATATTATAAAAATCTAACATCTGAACACACGTTAAGAAAAATTTGTAAAAAAAAAAAAATGCTTAATTTACCAGTGTTAAGTGTTTCATAATATGGTACATCTCTACCTGTTGTAAAAAATGTAATTGAACAGCTTTTTTGTCTAAAATGGTGTCTCCTGGGTGCACCTAGAGTTTATCACTGCAGTCAGTTTGTTAAGAAGCTTTAAAATGCAGTGAGGACACAGTCTACTGTTAAATGTCTAGTTGTATTCAAGCATGTTTAGCGTTTCCCGAGCTGTGCTGTGTTATTAGCGGGAGTAAATCCACTCAGGGCATCCCACACTGGCACCCGAGTCCTAGATGACTGCAGCAAGGTTAGGCCTTTTCTTGTAGTGCCATCTTCCCAAGTTTAAGCTGTCTTACTGCAGGAATGACTTTGTTTTTAAATAAAATATAACAAGTCCAACGATGTTGAATAAACGCTTTATGAACTAAGTTTCTGTTGTAGCAAAAGAAATCCAAAAAGATACCTCATTCACCCCTGCAGGAACGTTGCTGTTTCTATGCCAACAAGGCCGGAATCGACCGAGACAAGAAAGCGGAGGAAAGAACTGTTCGAGAACCCTCTCTGGAGCGGACTAAACGGACTTCTCCCCTACCTTCTCCCCATCCTGGGCCCCCTCATAGGTTTTTTATTAATCCTATCCTTTGGCCCCTGGGCTTTTCGGAGGTTAACAGATTTTGTAAAACAACACATTGACAGCGTCTTGGCCAAACCCATCCAGATACATTACCACCGTTTAGCCGTAGCTGACCATGAGCAAGATTTTGAACTTTACCATCGCTCCCTCCCTGCGGGGACAGCATGATGACCAGAGGAATGCTTACCTACTCCTCACTGGGAGAAAGGTATGGGTACCGATATGGGTGCAGAGCAAAGCATTGCAAGGGAAGGTCCAAAACATTTTCTGACCCCCTCTTCCCAAGGGAAGGTCATGGGAAAATTTCGACCCCCTCTGGATTTCCCTGCGAGCATACCTGGTTTGCATAGAGGTTGGTATCAATACAAATCCAATCGGCTCTGCCTCTCCTCCCCAAAAGATACCAAGAGCCGCTAACACTGGTGGGCCTGGGAAGCCCACGGGAGGAACCAGGTCACTACTCCCCCAATCGGTTAAGGCCCACCTTCAATTAAGACAAAGGGAGGAGATGTTGGGAGCCAGCAGAGTTGAGACGAGCAACTCAGTCTTAAGAAAATAGAATTAAGTTCCTTCTAGCAGAAGTTATGCGGTGCCCTGAGGGCTTGACCAGAAGATAAGATTAACCTGGGGCTTAGCATCTTCTTGTCTTCCTGCCTCTTCCCCTTCCTGATCCTCCCCCCTAGATAGCCCAGCCTTGGAATGTTGCACCTTGGAATGTTAACATCTTTGCAACTTCCCCTTCCTGATCCTCCCCCATGGACACAGCCAGGGACCCCTCTGCATGGGCGGCCCTGACCCCCTTTGTCTCTGCTGTATAAATACAGCCATTTCAGAGAATAAAATTGAGGCTTGATCAGAAAAAAAAAAAAAAAAAAAAAAAAAAAAAAAAAAAAAAAAAAAAAAAAAAAGATACCTCATTCACATTCTTTTTTTTTTTCCTTTTTAAAATTTCTATTGTTAAGAGTATCGCAGTATTATACCCTCCTTTTTCCTCCATTACCCCTTTTGCACCCAGTTCCCACCCCACCCCAGGCTTCACCACTCTATTTAATGTCTGTGTCCATTGGCAATGAATATATGCATATACATTCTTTGGTTAATCTCTTCTCTGGACTCAGGGGCTTAGGTTTTAGCACATAAGTTTTGCTTATCCCTGAGTCATTTTTTTTTCCAGTCTTTCTTTAAACCTGTAATAATTGGAAAGAAATAAAAGTATATTTCAGATTTTTGCATTTTCCAAATCAGTGGTTTTCATTGTATTATTTAGAGGCATTTTATCTACTATGTAGTTTCCTTTTGGTGTCATGGGAACCATGTCTAAAAACAGCATGGAGCAGTTGACAAAGAGGTCTTTTTCTCTAAATAGCCTAATTCTTATTAATCTCAGAAAATAAAGACTAAATGGATTGTGAAGTTGAAGAAAACCTTTTGGTGTGTGGAGACCTAATAATTTAGGAGAGATCAGGATACTTTAGCAAGGTAAAGTATTATGTATCTATTTACTAATTTTTCTAATACTTTATCATATTTATTTACATATTTTATATATAACATAATTACATATTTAATTATATATTTTTCAGAGTAGATTATGGAGCCACTATGCCCATATTATGAACTTTTCTTGGTTCTTATAACATTAGAAATTAAAAACCAAAGCAGAAATTATGAAAAGCAGCTCTACAGCTATTATAATGTGCAGAATAACTCAAAACTTCACTTCATTATGTTAATCAGTGTAAAAAACCCTCGCCATGTTACAATATTTTGTTCATCTTTTAGCATATGTTGTAAACCTGAATATACCTTTTATTAAGTAATTATTCATAGAATTAAAGAGGAAGCCTTTGTGGTTAGGGAAATGATCTTTTTTCTTAAATAATAAATAGCTTTGGAAATATAAAAAGTAATTTAAAATCTTTCCTAATTAGATGTAAAACTAAGTTTCATTGGCTAGTCATAGCTAAAATTGCCCTAACTCTTACCTTTGTGACTACGTCCTTTCAGGATTTTCAAAGAATGATTTCAGGACTTTTTCATAAACCTGAAAATTAATGTGTGGCTGATCAGCTGAGACTAATAATGGAGTTTTGATTTATTTGTTTTATCCTGTGTTTGGAACTACAGTTAAATTTTTTTTTTAACAGTGAATTCTTAAATGTAGTTTTGGTCTAATCTGGTGGTTCTCCAACTGTATAGTGTACATCAGAATTATCTGAGACCTTGCTTCTTAAGACAGAGATTACTGATCATATATATCTGGGGTCGGACCCCTAAATTTGCATTTCTTAAAAATTCTCCAGTGCTGTGGGACCATTGGTGTGGTCTCATGTGCTCTTTTGTGATCACAGTTTCCTAATAATCAGAGGACCTCTGACTTGGAAATTGGCACCAGAAATGGTTTAGATCAGTGGTTGCCAACCTTTCGGACCTCATGGACCACCAGTGGCGATTGCTGGTTTAGATCAAACCTGTAGAGTCAAAATTTACACAAAGTCACAGGGTCATTTGGGCATGGCCAGGGTTTTTAGCTTAGATCTGACATTTAGCCTCATGTTCCTACTACAAAAGAAGATGCTGCCCTTTGCCTCTCCCCAAAGAGTGAGGAATGCTAAAAGCTCTAGGGTCTTGAGTTTGTGAAATGCATTCAGGCAAGGCAGAATGCAAAAACCTATGCTGCACATTGGCTTTCCCCTCACTGCAGTCATAGTGTTGTTTGAACCCAAGATTTTGTCTTCCATTCATTCGTTTCTGCCACTTTTTTCACTTTGTGTGGTGTTTGGAAACATGGACATTTGTCTGAATCCTAATTAAAATAAGTAACCGGGAGCTTGACTTCTTTTAGCATAGTAATAGCAATGAATACAATACTTTTAACTTTCAAATGTCCAAATTATGATGACCATATTGTGAGCACTGAGATGGATAATGTAGTAAATGTATTAATGGAATTGTGCACGATTCAGAAATAAATGGCAGTCATGAAACTATAAATGCACCTTTCTAAATCCTTTTATTTTCTATGTACTTAAATCATAAAACACTAATTGAAGATCAGTGATTTTTTTCTTCTTATTTTGGTGAAGGTTCAGTAGCCATATGTAAACCTTAGTTCTCTCCATTAGGAAAAATCTGTTGAAGCAATATTTTAATTGAAAAGCTATTATACCTTACACAACAGGATGTTATGTTAAGTAAATATTTCTTAGGTCTGTATGTCTGAAACGTGTCTGAAAAACCAGCCACCTCTTGTGCCCATCCTTGGGGGTGGCTCCATTCAAAGCACACATTCTAAGAGGAGAGTTCTTTCACCCAAGGGACACTCTGGGAAGGCAAAAACACACATGTCCACTCAGACACACCAGACATAACTAAGTTTTATAACTACCAGAAAAGTTTACCTGGCTAGAAATGAACCTTATTTTTTGCACTGCCAGCTCAAAACTTAGGGTTATTTCTTCCAGGCATGATACCTGTTGGGGGTTTCAAAGATAATATTGTCCCAAGAGCTGACTTTTCAGCATCGTGAAAGTTCTCTCCAGCCCTAACGGGTTTGGCTCAATGGATATAGAGCATCGGTCTGAAGACTCAAGGGTCCCAGGTTCGATTCTGGTCAAGGGCATGTACCTTGGTTGTGGGCACATACCCAGTAGGGAGTGTGCAGGGGGCAGCTGATGGATATTTCTCTCTCATTGATGTTTCTGACTCTCTATCCTTCTCCCTTCCTCTCTGTAAAAAAAAAAAAAAATCAATATATATTTTTTAAAAAGAAAGTTTTCTCCATTAGTAATAGAGATCATAAACTATTGAAAGTGAGGACCTCTTCAATGGTGTATCATAATAAGATGGACATAGGGAGTGAGTAAAGAAGGGGTCAGAGATCCCTTTGTTGTGTTACATCGGTAGATCAATGAGCAAATATAATGGGACGACCTCTTATTATCATTCAGTTAGCAATTTCAAAGCTACTTCCACCCACCCACTGATTAGAACTGCAAAAGCCTGCCTTTCATCCACACCAGATTTATAGATAAAGAGCATTTAAATAGCTCTTTAAAGTCCAAGAAGTGCTTTAATAAAAGTTATTTGAGCCCAGCTGGCATGGCTCAGTGGTTGAGTGTCGACCTATGAACAAGGAGGTCACAATTTGATTCCCAGTCAGGGCACATGCCCAGGTTGTGGGCTCAGTCCCCAGAGTGGGACATGGAGAGGCAGCCAATCAATGATTCTCATTGATGTTTCAATCTCCCTATCTGAAA